GTGGAAAACGCAATAATAGTCCCCAAAAAAAAAAAAAAAAAAAAAGAACTACTGCATGATCCAATGATCCCACTAGTGGATATAGTCTCCCCAGAAAGGAAATCAGTGTGGAAAAAAAGGCTTTTGTCATCCCACGTTTATTGCAGCATTATTCACAATAGCTAAGATATTGAATCAACCTAAGTGCCCAACAGCTGATAAATGGATAAGGAAAATGTGGTATATATATGCAATTACTATTATTCATATATAAAAAAGGAAACCTTGTCATTGGCGGTAGCATGGTAAAACCAGGAGGAAATAATGCTAAGTGAAATAAACCAGGCACTGAAAGACCAGCACCACACAGTCTTACCCATTACTGGAAGCTAAAAGATCCTACTACAGCGAAGCAGAGAGTGCAAAGGTAGATAGGAGGAGTAGGGAAGGGAGAGTGTATGGAGAAGGCCAGAAGTTGGTGAACGCATGCAAGAATGTAAGTAAATAAGGGGCATAAGTTACAGAGTACTCCAGCACAGTAACTAATGTATACTTCAAAATAGCTGGATGAGGATCTAGAATGTTCAAAATGCAAGTTAGTAATAAACATGTGAGACAGTGGGTTTGTTTATTTCATGATTTGATCATTACATTTTGCGTAAATATATTGAAAATATACCCCCAAAGTATGCATCCTTATTATATGTCTACTAAAAATTACAATGTAAAATGTGATAGCATACATTTCTTTGTTTATTCATTTACTATTTGTTGAACACCGACTGACTTCTTTATCAAAAAACTCACAATCAATCATGGGTATTAGTTATAGAAACAGAAAAATGCAATTTTAGAAACATGAAAAGCTTTTTTTTCTTGCTATAGGGCGTGTGTGCTAGCCAGAAAGACAGAGAGAGAAAGAGAGACAGAAAGTGACAAATCACCCCCCGGGGGAATAGCCACTCTGCAATCCCTTCTCCTCCATTCTCCTCTCGGGATCCTAGGCACGCACGCACACGCACCCAGCGTGAGTTTAAGCCACCGGGTCTGGGACTTGAACCGCAGTCGACTACATGGGAGTCCAGCAATATAGCCATTACACTAACTGCTAGTCCCAGAAATATAAAAAGCTTTTGATTAAATAGTTGGACAGTATAATCAGAGAAGGATAAATCAGAAATTTATTAGGCCATAATGAAAAGGCATTGCTATTACCTGTACTCTCGCAGGTAGTAAGGTAAGAGTAAGGTGCTGGACTCCCACATGGCCAATCCAGACAAAGATCTGGTGTCTTGAAAATCATGCCAGTGTATGTGCATGTGTGCCCAAAATCCTGAGAGGAGAATGGAGAAGGGATTGTGGCTTGGCCGTCCCCCTTGAGGGATTTCTCACATTCCCTGTCTGTCTCTTTCTTATCTGACAAGAACATGCACCCTATGCCAAAAACTTAAAAGCAAAAAACAAACTAAAACAAAAAAGAAGAAGGAGGGAAAATACATCTTTCCTAACTTGAGTTAGTCTTATTTTATTTCAAACCCATAAGGACAAATAGACACTCAGATATCATATCTTATTACAAATTATTTTAGGGAAATCCTTTATATACTAGTTTCAGGAACTTAAAATTAAAATTAGGTGATTTGGTGGGAGGAACAAAGGGTATGTCTGGAAAGGAAGTTAGGGCCAGACAATAGAGAGGTGCTAAAATCTTTACAATATTTTCTCTGTATCCATTTTTTTTTTAATTTTTTAATTTCCATGTGCTCACCAGAGGCAGAAAGACAGAAGAGGGAGAAAGCATCCCCCAGTGGGCCATGATCAAGCTGCAACCTCTGCTTTTCTATTTCTCCATCTGTCAGGAGGTTTGGCATGCATGTTTGTGTGGCCAGCATATTTACATGGCTTTGGGGCTGGGATTCAAATAACAGTGAGCTATATGAGACCCAGCTCCCTTAACCACTGCCCCCAAAACTTTTCCCCTTGGTTTGATTTGGTTTTATATTGCCAAGTATAAAACCTGTAAATCATTCTTTATTAATGCTTGATAAAGTACCAGTTACAAAACTAAGTTACCACCCAGTCTTTTCAATCCTTATCTTTGTGAAACTGCAACCTGCAACCTTTGTTCAGTTCTACCAAAAAAAAAAAAGGATATTGATTTCATTTGAAACCACTGAGTATAACAAAGACTACTATCTAATAGAAGGAAAAGGGAAAGAAGAAAATGGACTTTAGTGACTCGCAGGCACATTCCTGGGGTTCTTTATTTCTCATACTAAGACAGAGTGAAGAGAAACAAATCCAGAACCAGAGAGAATATTGTCTCTTTTCATTTGCAAACCAAATTTCATGCCTCTTACCTGAAAAGTTTTTATAATCCACTAAATCAAACATAACAACGGCAACAGCTGACCACGTGATAATCAACGCAATGACCAGAAGCCAGGCTGCAGGGGAGCTGAACGTCGTCACAATGTCCTCTGTGACTGTCCTCTTCAGCACTTTTCCAGGGGACTTGGGCACAGACCCATTTTTGCTGTCTATCACAGTTGTGGTTGTGGATGCATTTCCTAATCAAATGTTCAGAAAGAAAAATATAGTTAAGAAAGTCACATCGAGTAAGGATGACATAAAACACAGATTATATGAGTTTTGTTTGTACCTATCTATGCCATTTTCTATACTGTAACACGCCTTGTTAGTGGCAGAACCTGGCCTTCCTACACACTCCACATCATCTCTGTCTGCACACACACACACACACACACACACACACACACACACATGAATGTATATTTTAAGTATGAATCACATTGCCTGTAATAATTTAAGAATTTCATATCTAAGAAAGAAAATTTTGATTAATCATGTTCTAATGTACATAATTAAAGTTTTCCAGTTTTACTATTTATCTCAAAATTACACACTTCTTTATACTGGATTAAAAAGCAAATCTAAATCTTTAAATTTCTTTAACATTTTTCACAAAGTAAATGTCACCTAACTGAAAGAGTGACTGTCATTACCCTTTGAATGTGTTAAATAATCATTGACTATTTTAGTCTTTTAAAACTGAGAGAGGGCCAGCCTGTGGCACGGTGCTAAGTTGACTAGATCACACAAGGCCAACTATACAGTTCGAGTCCCGGACTTGGCAGTTTGGGAAATGTGCCAGGCATGTGTGCATGTGTGCCTAAAATACTGAAAGGAGAATGGAGGAGATGGGATTGTAAAGTGGCCATTCCCACTACCCCAGGAATTTCTCACTTCCCCACACCCATTCTCTCTCCCAGAACACACATCACTTATGAAAAATTTTTAAAAATAAAAAAGACAAAAATGAGTAAAATTCTTTGCACTCCTTAAAGGCCTCAGAGTGAAATTAAAGTGTGCTTTCCATTTTTATCATCTCTGCCTTTGCATTCTTTCTTTCAGTTACTTCTCACTTTTGCATGGTAACAGTCCAGCAGAAAAGTTACATGGTGGGTTCTAGAACTCCTGATTTCTCCCTGTATTACCAGAATGGTTGGAAGAGTGCTATTACACTACATCTCTACATGAGAAATATCTATAGCTAATGGTAAGACACTATCTGCAATTCTGTAATGTAGAGAAACAACTCATCCACCTTGATACATGAGAATTATATGATAAATGGGAATACTAAAACTACAATTACATTATTACCAATGCCACCATCATTATTACTACTACTGTCTCTACTACTAGCACTATGAGTATGATTCTGACTCTATTATTATCATGATAAGGAAAGACTGGATGAGCACAATTAACTTCAGAAACAAAGGTTCAAAGAATAACACTTCAGTGAATGCAGGCATTTATTACCACTTAAAAAGCACATGCATTAGGCTATGTTGTTTTGGGGGAATCAAAAAATATTCTATGACTCAGTATCTTTTCCAAAGAATTAACTTATTTCTTGTAGTACAGGAAAAGACAAACACACATTGTAATTTATCCATATAAGTAGGGGCTGTTTTGCCCCATTAGCAAAATTAAGAGAAATGTTCTATAACAGAGTTATTTCATTGTACTATAAACATTATCAATATCATTGAATTTTTTTTTTTTGGAGAGATTTTTCACTGTAGGGCGCGTGCGCTCGCCAGACAGACAGAGAGAGACATAGAGACAGAAAGCGAGAAATCACCCCCCCAGGGGGGATGGTCACGCCGCAATCCCTTCTCCTCCATTCTCCTCTCGGGATCTTGGGCACGCACGCACACACGTCCGGCGTGAGTTTTAAGCCACCGGGTCTGGGACACGAACCGCGGTCGACTACGTGGGAGTCCAGCGACATAGCCATTACACTAACTGCTGGTTCCCCCAATATCATTGAATTTTTAAAAGAATTATTTATTTAATTTTATATATTATTGTTGTTGTTATTATTATTACTTTTAAATTCATCCAGGGATGGCAGGGAGAAAGCAAGCCACCAGGTCCAGGACTTGAACCAGAGTTGGTCATGTGGGAAACCAGTGCCTCAACCACCACTGCTGGCCCCCTCACTGAATTCTTTAAACTGGAAAAATGAAGTTTGAGTCTGGCAAACAAATATGTATACACAGTGTTCTCAAAGTATTATATAAATCCAGTTCATAAGGCAAGTTTTGGGTATTGGGGAAGAAAATATTTCTCTAGTTAATAAAGTTTTACACTTTTTGTTTCATTAGTTATAAATGGTACTATACTTCCATTTCTAAAAATAGGATAAATAACTATGAGTATGCAGGGAAAAGAAAATCAAATACATCCAAGAGTACCTATTAATAGGTAGTAATAGACATATATAACTAATACAACTATTTTTTAGATAACTGTAAGTCCAGGCCTAGATTTTCAAAAGATTAAAAAAACTGATGAAGAACAGCAGGTGGTGAAATGATTAATTAAGGTTTTTAAATGACTTTAGGTAAAAACAAAAATAGTGACAAAAAATCTTTTCTTTCCCCAAAACACTATTAGAATACATAAGTTCAAGTACTCAGTTTAGTGGAAATGATAGCAAGGTGGAAAAATATCTTTAAAAAGCAGATTTCAGAGATTGCACTTGAGGTGGTACTCAAAGAAGTACAAATTATAAAGAACTCATATTATATCCTTTCATTGATTTTTTTGTGCCGAATTCCCATCACTCCTAATGGTAGTTCTGAAAATGGAAGTGATAGGAGTGCTTTGAAATTCGATTTAGGACCCAAGTGGGCAACAAGTGAATCAAACCGTTGCCATAATGATTTACAGGACAGTAAATGAATTATGAGTGTTCAGAGTGGCCCACCTGCAATTTGATAAGTTTCTAATCTCCAGTTTTTTAACCTCTGTAGGGCTTTGTACTACTACTAAGTAGAAAACATCTAGAGAATTGCTTCTGCACTTAAGATGCACTTCAGTGAGTTGTGTATTAGAGTATGTCTGTAGACAATAACACATATACTTGCTTGATATCTTGAAACTGAAAGCGTAAATTTACTGAAATTTGATACAAATTAATTGAATCCCAACGACATTTTTAAAAAGCAGACAATTTTAAAAGGAAAATGAATTTCTGTATTTCTTCCATTTTTTGACCAGAAAAACGAGAAACTACATACACTTAGAAATAATGCAAATTCAGAAGGAAAATATGATGTTTTATATTTTTAAAGAACTGACATAATGTAAATTCCTAATCTTAATTAACTTTATGATAGTATCAATTATGGTACAATTTTTCAATAGATAGAAATGGTCAATTTAATGCTAAATTATTGCTTTATTATGCTTGTTTCTTGTCTTCACATCCTCAAAATTTCCACCTAAGAATTAATCAGGACTCAAAGGTAATGAAAATATATTCTGAATATCAACCACAAAGCCATAAGCAATTTGAAAGTAATCTGAAGGTTATCTTGCCTAAAGAAAATTACGTGTTGCCTTTGTTATAAAACACACTAAGCTGTACCTTTCATTTCCCATGCAGATTTGCTGCAGAAGTCACACAGAGCCAAGAGGAATAAAATTTAGAGGGAATAAATTGCCTTCTTTGACAGCTGGCCAAGATAAATGCAAAGAACACAGTGTGTAATCTGAGATTATTTAATGTTAGAAAGGCACTTTAAAGAGGACAAAAGCTAGTTATTGATATGGTGAAAAAAAAACGAGAGGTAAATATTCCTGAGCAATTTGATATAGACTATGCTTTGAAAACATCTCTGAATTGAAGCAAAGAAGCTAGAGTATGTGACGATGCTTCTCCTGCCTCCTTTTTAAGTCTATTCCTTTTGATTTCATACAAATTATTTTGATTGCTGGACAGATAGATCAGGTTCAAAAGTAGTGGGGATCTAACTGAATAGTCGTGTGATTCTGCCTTATAAAATAAAATGAAGTGTTGCTTATGGAATGGCTCTAAAGACTGCCTTCACAGTCGGGATCTGCACAGAAGAATGAATCATAAGCTTCCTGATAGAAGTCACTTAACCTCATCATGCTTTGTTGATCAGATGAAGAAACTGCCAAGTGCACTTGCCCATTACTATTCCTACAGTATATCAGCAATGTAATCTATTCCAGCAGGCTTAAGGAAGTCACCTATATTATAAAATGGTATAAATAAAATATTCCATTCTCATTACATGAAAGCATTCATTATGAATTTTGCATTTCCCTATATGATACTGGTTTGTGTAGTACTCTTACACTATTTTTTTTCTTCAAGAACTACAGAGCAAAAGAAATAGAGGAACTGTATACTACCATTGGTATCATAAAAAATGATATTCTTAAATTACATCAAGAATATCATTACCAATTAATTACATATAAGAATTACTCTTACTGTATCTTTTGTGTTCCAAAAAACATGCCTGTAAATAAGAACTTTGTAGAAATTCTATTGAAAAAACCTTAAGGCAAATAAATCAAAAAGTGAAAAAAATCCATCTTTTAACTTACATATTTTATCAATTCCAGCATTTGCAGAATTTCTCTATCATATGCATATAAAGCTTCAAAGATTAAATTACGTTTTCTACAAGTGTATATAATCTGAATGAAAATAAATTTTGATAGGTAAAATAAACTCGTTAATTCACAAAAATTATTTTCATAAAAATAATCATATATTTTAATTGAAATATTTAATATTGATAAGCCATATGAAGAAATAAGAAATAATGCCTTAAGAAATAACAACATAGAATAAGTTTTAGATGCATCCCAACTCTAGGCACTTCAAATAAACAATAAAAACATGTTTTCTCTCTTTCAAAGATAGTAATTACTTTTGTCTCAAGTCAGAAACGGTCCTCTGCCAATTTCAATGAAAGTCATAGACTGCCACCTTTTCTCCTGGGTTTTTGGTGTATGATCATCACAGCACAATTTCAGAGGACATTTTGCCTACCTGATCTGTCTACAAAATAAGTATGCACTTCAAGAAAATAATAATAATTATCTAACACTCCTTCCTAACAATCCTTCCTACCCATCCACTCTGTACACTCTT